GGGAAGATGACACGAGAATCTTACAGGAAAAAATGTGTCTAGAAGTCTGAACAAGTGACTCAAAAATTGACGTTTAGAATACCACTTGTTCAGCATTTTGGAGAACAGTTTACATTCCAGTATTTATTATCTTAGGGTTGAAGAGTCTGAAGGCATGTATTATCCATACTCATGGAGAAAAGATAGAGCTAATTTTTAAATGAAATAATGGCATTTTATATATGTTTGGCTTCAGAGGTATCCTTTGGGAAAAGCGATCACCTTCTCGAGATCCGCATTGAGGTGACCTTGGCCGGTTTCTGACTGAGCCTGGTGGAACATGACTTCCCTCTGGCCTTGACCTTTGAGCTGGCAGGATGACTGCAGGGAGTAGGCAGTGCCTCCATCTGAGAATCACAGAGCAGACCAACCCCAAAGCAGCCACCTGCACGTGTGGTGCATCTTCTGTACCTCCACGGGCACTTTTGCCTAAGGCCAGATGCATGTACGATAAACTGAAATGCACTGACTTTCCAACAGAGTACTTCACTTCTTTGGATCTAGACGTTTTGACCCAGAGTACCATTTCCTATTAGCAATGACTTGTAACTATCAACCTTACACGTTACCAAGAAAGGTGTCGTGCCATGAGAATAATTAATATTTTGATGAGAATGTTCTCTTTACAATGCATTTGCTTCTCTAAAAGTAAAAGAAACTGCTGTAAAAGAAGTTTTCAGGATCCCATGGAGAAAGCTGAGTTCAGGGATGTTGTGTGACTAGCCCAGGTCACATAACAAAGCAATTCAAAGCAAAGAACCCTGACCCAAAATTCTTAGCCTCAGCTGCTGCCCTTCCTCCCCTTCACCTGTCCCTCAGTCTTGCTTAGAGGGACATGCTCCCTAGTGTTGTCCGGTCGTCACTGGGTTCTCTGCATCTGTGCTCTCAGCAGCACATCCGTTCCCCTCCTTAGTTGCCTGGGGACTCCACCTCCCATTTGCTTCTGCCTTGTAACGGTAACCTTTGTCTCACCTTGCATCTCCACTTTCCTTTTTGAGATTCAACATATTTAAGTATTAGCGATTCTTTCGTTTTCCTAGCAGCTAAACTCAGCTGGTTTTGAACTTCTCGCAACAATCAGAATATAGTCCTTGCTGTCATTTCAGTCCCCACTGAGCATCTGACATATTTGAAACATTATTAAACTCTGTGTCAAAGGAGCCATGTCCGTGGGATATTACACCAGAGTATTCCTGAATTGTGTGTGTTGGTTGTGTTGAGCACAGCGTCCCCTGAGGACACGCTGGCAATGAGAACCTCCACCTCTAACAAAGTCTCACAGATCGCCTCTGAGAGATGGGGTGTGTGCTCCAGGGACCCCTGTTCAGGAATAGTAGCTGGTCACCTCTGGCTTGGTTCATTGGTGGCATCGTATCACACGACTGTCGTGCGTGTCCTCACTGAGGAGATGTGTGCCAAGAGGCAGGGAGGGCCTGCAAGGAAACAATATCCAAATGTCAGTTCAATTAGAAGACAGTTTAAATTAGAAGCAGATGGCATTTCAGCAACTGCTTTAATGTGTAAAACTAATTTGAGAGGATGAGATACTTGATTGCACAGCACAGAGAAAGGGCCTTTTCTGGGCCTCTGCCCTCAGCGGTGGCAGAATGGTCTGTGGGGACATCCCCTCCATGAAGACCTGACAGGCTCCTGGGTGGAAACTGAGTTAAAAATTAATCTCATTTCCTCAGAATGCAAACCTATAAATTGGGGCTCTGCCTGGGAACACATTTTATGCAAAAACAAAAAAAAATGAGCATTAGAATAAATGCAGCAAAAATGAAATACAACACACGTATGTGCCGTTACACACAGTTATTAAGGATGTCTGATGAAGCCGTGGATATAAAAGCTGCATCATTCCCTTTAGGGGTGTTCTGTGCTGACTGCACTGTTGGGTGTCTTAGCCTGGGAACCCAGTGACACGCAGCTCCAGATTCGGGCCGGTCTGCCTCTGCCAAGCAGAGACACGGTTTTTGCTCCAGTGACCTTCACAACGCCTTCAGGACTGGGGCCGTCCATCTGGAAAACTTTCACTGCTCTGAATGGTAAACGTGGGGGAGGTGCAGTGTGGGGTGACATCAGTTTTGGCATGGGTTGCAGGCATGAGGTAGTCCTAACCGGGAACTCAGTGGTTACTGCTGCAGTCTTGTTTACCACCAGAAAGGTGCTGGACAGGCCATGGCTGCAGGAAGGCAAGACGCAGGGCCGTCTTCAGGGCTGAGGGCTGTGGCCGGCAACAGCTCCCCTGGGGCCTTCCCAGGTTGCCATGAGATTGGAGGAAGAGGAGCTCAGACGCTGTCACGGTGCAGAGGTTGGGGACACAGGGAGGGGCACCGTGGAGGATGCCAGCATCTTTCGCAGAGGCTCAGACCTACCTGCCCTTTCATCTCACTACACCAGCCCGACCTGCAACTTTAGACACAGAAGGTAGAGTTGCCTTTGTAGTCTAAGACCTGCCTTTGCAAATCCTCGTTTTCTACACCCCATCACCCCAGAGGACTGACAAAGCAAACGTACATCCCTACTGGGGAAACACCATTCTCAGCCACAGGAATGTGGTTTAGCCCAGTAACCCCCATAAGGCAAGCCAAGACAATCACACGCTTTTATGAAATTGACACCTTTCCCAAAGATATGCTTATTCCAGTTACATTTCTCCATATACTTTCAATTGAACGTTGAACTTCAATGATTGAATACTTAAGTGACGCCAGAGCTACAGATTTTCTTTTGAAGCATCTCACCTACTCCTTACACAGAGAGATCCTGAGGGTACCAGATCCAACAGTAAGGGGGCTTCTTTCCTTTACTAAGGTGTGTATATTGGGGCTGGGAAGAGGAAGGACAGTGTCTGGCATTAGGCCTGGGGAATAACTTCATCTCTGAACTTAGAACCTTGGATGCTTTCTCTTTACAAATGTTGTAAATTATGGCTGGGCATGGTGGCTCATGCCTGTAATCCTAACACTTTGGGAGGCCAAGGTGGGAGGACCATTTGAGATCAGGAGTTTGAGACCAACCTGGCCAACATGGTGAAACCCCGTCTCTACTAAAGGTACAAAAATTAGTGGGGTGTAGTGGCACATGCCTGCAATCTCAGCTACTTGGGAGGCTGAGGTGGGAGGATCACTTCAGCCTGGGGGCGAGGTTGCAGTGTGCTGAAGTTACGCCACTGTACTCCAGCCTGGATGACAGAGCAAGACTCTGTCTCAAAACAAAACCAAAAAACAAGAAAAAGAAAAAAAAGGAAAGAAAAGGAAATGATAAATTTCAGTGGTTTTAACTGGCCATGGTATGTACCTGTTATCCCAGCTACTTGGAGGATGAGGTGAGAGGATCACTTGAGTCTAAGAATTTGAGGCCACCCCGGGCAACATAGCAAGATTGAATCTCTTAAAATTGCTTTCCAGTAGTTTCAGAAAAACTATTCTGAAACTAATTGGTAGCACATTCATAGTTTTCAGCACTCTTCTCTTTTTATTACAATTCTTCTTCCTAATAGCATCAGTGGCCATGGTTGCTGCTAGACCTCCTACAAAACACAGGTCAGCTTCCACAACAAAGAACCATCTGGCCCAGATGTTGGGGTGTCAGACCTGAGATGTGCAAAGCCAGCAGCCCCTTCAGTCATTCAACAGACACATGTTGAGAAGACAGTGAAATAAGACACGGCTTCTGCGTTTAGAGAACTTTTCATGCTCCTCGGAGAGGTTAGTGTAGAAGCCAGACGAGGAAAGCAGAATGACAGGGCAGTGTGGGAAACGCTAGAGAAGTGTCTCCAGGTATTTCAAACAAAGAATCTAATACAGGGGTTATTTTTATACAGCTGAAAAACAAAAGACGACAGTGCAATAGCAGGTAGTTGCTACTAGCCCCTGGGCTGGAGTGGTAAACAAGAGGGCGTGTTGCTGGAGCTGCGAGCTGGTGCCGCCCGCCCGCAGGACCTCGGACCTGGGAAGGAGGAGCTTCCCAGCAGGGCTGGAGCCACAGAGACACCACAGCTGCTGCACATGCCCACGAAATACTGTGGCAACTCCCTTTCCCAGCCCTTGAGTCACCTCCCACCACCACTGCCCACTGCCAAACCTGGACAGAAGCCATTTGTCAGGAACCTGGGAATTGTGGTTCCCAAAACACAGAGAGACAACAATGGCTGGAGAAACAGCCTGAGAGCAGACAAGGAAACTCGCAAAGTCATGGTGGTGTGAGGATCATGACAAATAGCTCAGCCCTGCTAGAGGGAAAGGCGTCCCGTATTGGGCACGGGACATTCGACATCTCTCAAAGTCCACGGGCAGCCAGTGACCCTGGGTTCAGTGACACAGCCCATCTGCGGTGTGGAAAGGACTCTGGCAGCAGAGTGAAGAATGGGTGGGCAGTGAGCCAGACCACAGTCATCCGGGTGGAAGGTAATGCAGGCTAGGAATGAGGCACCAGCCACCACGCTGACACAGGGCGGGTGGGCATGCAGTAGAGTCGCTTAGACCTGGTGCAATCTGCAGGGAAGGAAGAGGGTGTAGCCTGACCCCCGGGTTCTGGCCTGGAGGTAGCAGTGCTGGGGTGGACCCTCCGATTTCCACCCTGCTATACTGTCACTACAGCAACGGTCGTAAGCTCCTCAGCCTCACTGTGCCGTAGCATCCTCACTGTCGTGAATAGGGGCCAGATGTTCCCCAGGGCCACATTCTGTGCAGCTGTGATTTAAGGGTCTGCGCTCACCCCTTCAGCATTTTCGATTTCAACGTGTTTTCTTTCAGTGTCAGTTTGTTATGTAAATCAAGCTGCTCTAACCAGTGGGCCGCAGGCTGCATGTGGCCCGGGGAAGCTTTGAATGTGGCCCAACAGAAATTCATAAACTTTGTTAAAACATTGTGAGATTTTTTTTTTGCGATTTTTTTTTTTTTTTTTGGCTCATCAGCAGTTGTGTTAGTGTGTTTTATGTGTGGCCAAGACAATTCTTCTTCCAGTGTGGCCCAGGAAAGCCAGAATATTGGACACTCCTGATGTACATGATGAGTATATTATAAAACCTTTCGACTTATTTGTACTTTTAATCTGTTCTATATTCCTGAATTTCAAATTTAAGTTTTTACTTTAAAATTACCAGTCAAAAGTTTGTTTTTTTGTTGTTGTTTTGGGGGAGAATTCTCATTATCACTGAAAACAAAAAAAATTCCATTCTAAAGTTCGTACACCCTAGAATCCAGCTTGTAGACAGTGGATTTCACAATATTCCCATCTGAAATTCTTAGTTCTGTTTCTTTCATATCTCTGACAGAGTTCCCACAATTTATAAGACTTGCTACAAAACCACTAATTGAATTGCAACCCTTGTTAGTTAATAGAGGTCAAAGTATTAGTTCTAAATAATGCAACTTGCTATGTTACTCAGAAATTCCAGGAAAAACCTTTTTTTCCATGATACTCAGTTTCACTCTTAGCAGCACACAACAGTCACGTTGTTCAGCTCATGAACAAAATACTAAGTCCCTGGTCTTTTAAAAAGCCTATTGTCCCAATTAGAAACCCCAATTTTTTGCATGTGTTTTATGAAATCTAAATCCTAGAAATTAAGTTCTGAGTGTTAGAAAATTTCAACTTCTTCATTCTATAAAAACATAGTGCTTGTAACGACTTCTTAACCTTGGTATGGATTAGACAAGGCAGGATAACTGATGTGATTTCACATCGAAGTTAAATAATCTAAGTGTGCAGAGCACACCATTCTTACCCTCAGAGAGTGCACACTCTTGTTTGAAGGCAGCTCTATAAAGCTATCATTATAATCCATTTTGGTAAAAACAATTTGATAAGATGCCTGAAGGCTTGTGGAAGCACAGAGTAAGGGATTTCATTCATTCCAGGGGGCTCAGGAAGGAATTTCTGGGTAAGGAGACACCTGCAGTTCATCTCAAAGAATGATGAGGTATTATTAGACTAGGGGTGTGTAGGCTTTTCTAAACCCACTTTCACCTTGATTTTACTAATTTATCACACTGAGCTGCCCTTCCAGAGACACTGTTCTACTTACTGTAGAGTGAACAGTTATCCCCATTTGCTAGGAACTTTGTTGGCTTCAACCCTGGAAGTCCCATGTCCTGAGATACCCCTCATTCCGGGGTCAGTCAGACACCTGGTCCCCGAAATTTATTGCCTCCCAGTTGTAATGTGTGTTGTTGACTGTTGCTTTGCTCTTGCCAGTTTCTTATCTAGAATGGGGGATTACCTTCTCACGGCCTCGAATTCCTCGTGGGACCCGCGCAGACGCTTGCACCCAGTAGATGCTCGTGAAGTGGGTATATGCATAAATCTTGATACCTCTTATTCTGTAGACAGCACTGAAGTGCAGACCACTGAAATGACTGACTCAGGAGCCATATGACAGCACCAAGTTTAGGCCAAGTCCCATGTCTTGGGCCCTTGTTTCCTCCTTGGTTATAACAGGTCTCATAGCGCCCTCTGGTGGTGCCAGGAAGCTGTCTAATCCCCTGAATTACAAGGCAGGCATCATGCCTTCTCTTCTGTAGTCAATGCGAGTCATGATAAGACCATGATTACGACTTAACGTCAGTGCCCACGAACTGGACTTGACCTTTTGATTAAACAATCTCATTCATATCACGATTCTGAGATGCTGAAACAACGGAATTCCCTGTCCCTTCTAGAGCACATGAAGGCGCATAGGTGATACCAAATGTTGAACTTACTTTGCAGCTGGTTACAGGCTTCATACCCAGTCTCACTGCAGAGATGATTCAAGCCTCTGCTTATGTGGCTCATTCAAATGTAACCCACAGCTCCTCTGGCCCTCTAATTCCTCCATGAGAACATTGAACTGCAGAGGGCATATAGTAAGTAGCCCATCGGTCTTCTGATGAATGGAATTGGCTGATGGTCTGAGTCATCGTAGCCTCCCTTGTCCTGGATGGAATCAACTCTTCGACCGTTTAACTGTGGCTGTCCCTGGGAATCCCTTCTCAATGGAAATGATGTAGGGACAAATAAAAACGGAACCCATCAAGAACCTGGGGCGTAGGAGCAGAAGAGAGATGTTTCTGTTTGCATGGGGCAGATTCTGCACTTCATGGGGTGAGCTAAATCGGGATCTGCTCTCATCTTTAAACAGTGTCCTCCTCTTACTCCTCTCTGGCCTTTGGCCTCTGTGGCCTTGACTGATGTCTAAAGATTTTTGGGATTTATTTGCAGTCAGGGTCGTGAGGCCCAGGAATTGGAGTCAGATGTGTGGGTTGCAGATGGCCACTGTGCCTCTGTCTCTGTTCATTAGTTTACTGCAGTGGAGAAGAGTGTGGGCTTTGTGGGGACAGCTGCAGGACTCCCAGGCAAATGACCTAACCTGCTCCAGTATCCATCTGGTTGTCTGCAAAATGCAAGTCATTCTGCGACCTCTTAGGTTTCTGTGGGTCCTCAGTGACATTATGTTTTCCAAGACCTCAGTGCAGAGGCCTGACGTGTAGTAAGTACTGAAAAGTTGATAGTCTTTTATGGTTATTTTCATAATCTGTCGTTCATTCATCCAGTAATTATTTGTTGAGAACGGGGGACTGAGACATGTAAGCTATCACTTGAAGACTGAGCAGATCTTGGCCTGATGGGAAAGGTTAAGGGGGAGCAGCATTTTCATTTTTCAGGGGAAGGCCATGGACCCAGGTGTAGGGTGAAGGGCATGGACCCAGGTGTGCATAATGGGGAAGGCATGGACGCAGGTGTGGGGCGAAGGGCATGGATACAGGTGTGCATGATGGGGAAGGCATGGACACAGGTGTGGGGCGAAGGGCATGGACATGGGTGTGGGGGGAAGGGCATGGACACAGGTGTTGGGGGAAGGGCATGGACACAGGTGTGGGGCGAAGGGCATGGACACAGGTGTGGGGCGAAGGGCATGGACACAGGTGTGCATGATGGGGAAGGCATGGACACAGATGTGGGGTGAAGGGCATGGACACAGGTGTGGGGAGAAGGGCATGGACACACATGTGGGGTGAAGGGCATGGACACAGGTGTGGGGGGAAGGGCATGGACACAGGTGTGGGGGGAAGGTGTGGAAGTGGATGTGTGCGGTGGGCGTGGGTGCAGGAGTGTGTGGTTGTCAGGGCACGTGGGAAGAGGAAAAGGATGCTGAATTTGTTTAATTTGAATTCTTCTGAATTTTTTTTTTTTTTTTTTTTGAGACAGAGTCTCACTCTGTCCTCCAGGCTGGAGTGCAGTGGCGCAATCTCGGCTCACTGCAACCTGTCTCCCGGGTTCAAGCGATTCTCCTGCTTCAGCCTCCCGAGTAGCTGGGATTAGAGGGGCACGTCACCACGCCCAGCTGATTTTTGTATTTTTATTAGAGATAAGGTTTCACCATGTTGGCCAGGCTGGTCTCGAACGTCTGACCTCAGGTGATCCATGTGCCTCGGACCCCCAAAGTGTTAGGATTACGGGCGTGAGCCACTGCACCCAACCCTGAATTTCTAACATACTTCAGCAGCATCCTCACTTCTCTCTACTCTATGACCAGTTGGAAAAAGACCCCTACCAATGTGTTTCCTTCTCAGAGGCTGCCCTGGCATGTCCTGGCCGAGTCCTTCCCGCCTCTGTCCCAGTGGCCCTGTGCAGCTCTCAGTTAGTGTTTGAGCATCTCAGAACTCCTGGACAGGAGGCAGCTGCCAGCATGTGGGGCTCACACTTGTTCCTGCGTGTGTCAGCACTTGGTTTGAGTATTCGGTGTGTTGAATTCAACACAGGCTGGCATTTTAACATCACACCTTTTGAAATTGTTGTGAGGTTTTCTTTTGGTATTTCCTAATTTTTTTTTCCATTTCACATAAGAAGAAAAGATAGCGTTGAATGATACCTAGATATTTTCATTCCAGCAGTTTTTTCCTAGTCTCACCTACACAGGTTCCAGTGAGTTCATGTCCACGGCACAGTCCATAATTACCCTTCTCTGTCCAGGGATATATATTTGCATCTTTCCTTCAACTTATGAAGTGAATGGAGGGGAAATGTACAGTTGTAACTGAGTTTGCAGTAGCTTTCATCTGGCCAGCCGTGTGCTGGAGCGTGCGTCGTCTTCTCTGATCAGAGGGGCTGCTGCGCGGGAAATGGCTAAACCACTCGCTTTGTCTTCCACTGCAGGCCGTGGTCACCCAGGAGCCCGATGTGCAAGGCAGGTGTGAGTGCTGGGACGGCATTCCTGGAGATGAAGGCCTGGAGCTGCGGTCTGCGGACTCGGCAGTGCCCGTGGCCATGACCCAGGCTGCTGTGCGGCCCTGGTCACCCTGCCCGGAGAACATGACCACTGCCCCGAACGGCCTCGGGCCAGGCCCCGCAGCCCCCTGTCCAGGCTCGGACCTGAAAGATCCCAAGATGGTGACCTCGCTTGCGTGTGGAAACGGAGTCTGTGGCTGCAGCCCTGGTGGCGACACGGACACCCAGGAAGCCAGACTCAGCCCAGCCAAGCTTGTGCGCCTCTTTGCCACCAGCCGGAAGAGGACGAGTGCCCAGCCCGAGCGGCCCCGCTCCGTGGTGCTGGTGGGCAGCTCCTCCACGTGGAACACCCTCGCCTCCTTCCGGAAAATGGGATCCTTTAAGAAACTGAAGTCCTCGGTCCTGAAAGGAATTCAGAGCCGAGAGGGGTCAAATGCCTGTTCCAAGGGAGAGGCTTTGGAGCACGGCCTGGGAAAGCCCATCCTGAATGGCACCGTCCCAGGAGCCCAGGCAGGCAGGGGCTCCCCGTCAGCACCGGGACCAGCCTGTGGTACCCTCAGGCCAGCAGAGGGGGCCACACTGGATGGCTCCGACCTCGAGGACACGGATGATCCCTTCCAGCGGAGCACACACCGCTCCCGCAGCCTCCGCAGAGCCTACGGCCTGGGCCGCATCTGCCTGCTGGATGCGCCCCAGAACCATGCGACACCCACGGTGGCCACTGGCCAGGTGCCCACCATGTGTGAGATTCTCGTGAGGGATCCTGAAAACAACAGCATGGGCTACAGGAGGAGCAAGAGCACTGACAATCTTGCCTTTCTGAAGAAGAGCTCCTTTAAGCGGAAGTCCACCTCCAATCTGGCAGACCTCAGGACGGCGCATGACGCACAGGTGCCCCAGAGGACCCTAAGCAGTTCCTCCACTGACTCCCAAAAGCCTGGGTCAGGAAGGACCAAACGCTGGAGGAGCCCGATAAGGGCCAAGGACTTTGACAGAGTCTTCAAACTTGTGAGCAATGTGACTGAGGCCGCCTGGAGGAGGGAGAGTCCCAGGAGTGGGGCCCCGTCCCCTGGTGAGGCCGGCCTGAGACTCCAGGCACACAGCCGGCTGCATGACGACTATTCCCGCCGCGTCTCCAGGAGCACTGAGCAGGACAGCAGGCGGGGCGGGGCGGTCATGCATGGTACCGCTGCAGCCTGCACCGTGGCCGCTGGTTTCGGCTCGGCCACCTCTAAGGGGCCCCACGTAGACGCTGACGCCGCCGTATTTCCTCTTGAAGCCAAAGGTTCCTGGGCGGTGGAAAGCGACAGTGCTTGCGCTGGCAGCTCCTCGCCAAGCCCGATTGTCCAGGATGTGTTGAGCAAAGACTCCTGTGACCCAAACGCTGGCAGCCAGTTCACATTTGACCCTGAGCAGCCTCCCACCCCTCTAAGGCCCACCACACCCAAGCCCCAGAGCCCTCAGAGCCCCGGGGCAGGAAGTGCCAAGTGTCACAGCAATCACAGTGCCCCATCCGTGAGTTCGGAGGAGAGTGAAGGAAGGGCAGAAGGGTCTGCTCAGAGAGAGCCAGGGCCTGTGTCCTCACAGGATCCTGTGGAAGCCACACGTGGTGTTGAGGGCAGCAAGGACCTTTTGGTGAACACCGGTGGGGCAGCCAGCCCAGAAGAAGAGGAGGAGGAGGTAAGGGCAGTGGTAAGGTCCCTCATGTGGGCGACCCTGCTGCGGGAAGGGAGCTTGTACAGGGGCATTCTGGCCTCACCTGGAGGTTCCCATGCTGCACAGGTGTTGCCCTGGGTCCCTAACTTGTCATGGTCAGTGGCCCTCTGCTGACCTTGTTGCCCTTACAGTATTAGTGGGAATGGGAGTTGTCAAGTTGCTGTTTACCAAGTTCAGAAGTAATCTCTATCTCCTTTGAAATAAATTTGACAATGTGTGAGACTCATTGAGATGACATTTGCCACACCTTTCATTCAAAAGATGTTTATTGAACATGTACCAGGTACTAGGTTCTGGGGGAAAAAGTAAGTTGTGAACAAACTTATGTTCTGCTCCATGCAGTTCTGACTCGTATCGTTCTTCTTTATATTTTAAGCTGTTTCTGTAACCTTTCCCACAAAGTACATATAAGTGAAATTCTTTCTGTTAAGAGACTATTACCTCTCCTAATATCACGGCACCTTTGGGTGTCACTTGACCAGCTGGAAACCTCTGTGACTGGCAGTGCCTCTGCTTGAGTTTTGCTCATGCCCGTTAGCCTCATCCCACCCATTCTGCCCAGCAGGCTGCGTTAGGCTTGCACTGCCAGCCCAGATCCTATGCCTGCCAAGGGCAAACCAGGGATGGAGCAGCAAGGGGTGTGTGAGTGAGTGAGCATGGAGTCCAGCCGCTGCACACAGCCAGGCACGTCCGCTATTGCAGCAGGGCAGGCAGCTCCAGGTGCCGGCTCCATGCAAGGCTGTGGCTGGAACAGACGTACTGCAGCTGGCTTCTGCTGCAGGCATCAGCTTGTGGACAAGGGGAACGTGGTGACAAGTGAAATCTCAGAGATACCAGGAATTGCAGAGCCCCAAAGAGGCTGTTACAGCATGTCGTAGCCTGGTTCTGATCTGGGCTCCCGGAAGGGCCACAACTCTTCTCATCACCTGCATTACAGCAAGCAGGGGCCGTGTTTCTGGGGAACATGTTTCACCTCACTGTGTTACAGCTCCTTTAATCCCACTGCCCCACTCTAGCATGCAGCTCTTGGGCTGGTCTAGCCCCACCCTTCCTTTTGCATGTGGCAGCTGCCTGGTGCTGGTGGAAAGTGGGAGGATAATAGTGTTACAGCTTTGGTTGAGGGAATCCCAAGGTTTGGGTCCCCAGAAGGGTTGCGACTCTTCACACCTGCAGTCCAGGAGCATGTGACCACCTGTAGCTCGGTGAGCTGGCCAGGAATGTGTTACAGCCCCTTTAACTCCCACCTGCAGCTCGGCGAGCCATCCAGGAAAGTGTTACAGCCCCTTTGGCTCCCACTGTTGGGCAGGTCCCACATCCAGGAAAAATGAAGTTATGCAGACAAATGGAGGGTGAGCAAGGCTGAAAAGAGCTTTATTGGGTGACCAAACAGCTCTCAGCGGATAGGAAACCTGGAGTGGGTTGCTCCTCTCTGCAGGCAGGTAGTCCCAGTGAGTGGCTGAGTCTGGGGATCTTATGGGCTCAGAATGGAGGAAGTGCATGCCGACTGGTCCATGGGTAGGCCTGGAAAAGCAGCACTTGATTGGTTGAAAGGCATCAAGGAAGCTCTCACTCCAGGTCGCTGACTTCACCTGGAACTGGCATCTGTGCCCTGAGGCTTCAGGCTGTCCCTGGCTTGAAGGTGGGATTTCACTGGGGACCCGCCTCTTCCCACCTAGGTACCTGTCCACCTCCCACCACCATCACTAGGTCTGTTTAATTTCCTGGGAATTAATTAGGAACATGCAGTTTGGTACCTGTCAGCTTTTGAATGATTGTACGTATTTTAGAGTAGATCATAAGCACCTCATGAATTGACTCAGCTAATAGCTGTCAAGGTTACAACAGCAGGTTTTTTCATATCCTGTCGAACATCCGGACAGCTTTATAATTTTCACTTTATAAAGCATTCAGTAATATTACCTTACATAGCTGGAAGATGGGGAAATGCATTCATGTGTATATGTTGCAGATTATTCTTCACAGACGTTTCTAGATTGATTTGCAGGTATAGATTGGTGCTTGCTGTAGACAATAATCCCCTAGCAAATGCTCCTTCCCACCCATCCCTGGGGAGGACCTCAGTTTTGTCTTAGTGCCTACAGATAAATGATTGCATAGCTAAGTTTGCAAACTCAGAAGCCAGGACAGCCTCTGCACTGTCCATCTTGACGATTGCTATACAGACAGACCTGGTTAGTAGAACCTTTGAAGAAAGACCTAGAAAGTAGGACTTTTACAGAGTGCTTTCAGATCGAGATTAGTCTGGAGGTTCCCTGGGCAGCCAGAGAAGTGAGACTGCACTTTGTCTGTTACCCGACATTCCTGTGGGGAGAGCTCACCAGTTTAGTTGAGAGGTCTTGAATATTGAGAACTGTCTGTTCATTCGCATATTTGAGCCTGTGGAGCAGTGGTAAGGACACAGGAGTAGTTGCCAGATTTAGGAAGGAATTCCAGTTCTGCCGGCTCCAGTTTGTACAACTGACCAAACTTCACTCATTCCTGGGTGAGATGAAGGGTAACATTCCTTCCACTAAACAGCCTGCCTGCCCCCCTCGTAGTTGGGAACCTCCCCTCACTAAAAAAGGATTTGTATATGTCTGGAGGGTTTTTTATGTTAAAGATTCGATTTTATATTCTGCTTGACAAAATTATTTTTTAAAAAATCATTGAAATATTTTATTCCTGAGAACCTGTTAAGTGAATATGTGTGAACTAGTGTGTAGTTACTTGCCAGGGTGATTTTGACCATTTTATGGTTTTATATGTATATTTGCTATTCTTAGTTATATCAAATTTAATTTCTACCCACAGAAGATCACCAAAGATAGAAAGCAGAACAATTATATTGAAATTCAGTTTATTAAAGGTGCACACATGTTGATAATTCTACAGATTTGCCTCAGATATTATCACATTTTTCAGTTGCATTCATTTCTTCAAAATTCTTTTTTTTTTTGAAACAGAGTTTCATTCAGTTACCCAGACTGGAGTGCTGCAGTGGTGTGATCTCAGCTCACTGCAACCTTCGCCTCCTGAGTTTAAGCAATTCTCACGTCTCGGCCTCCCAAGTAGCTGAGATTACAAACATGTACTAACATGCCTGGTTAATTTTTGTATTTTTAGTAGAGACAGGGTTTTGCCATGTTGGTCAGGCTGGTCTCAAGCTCCTGGCCTCAAGTGATTCACCCACCTCATTCTTCAAAAGTGCTGGGATTATAGACGTGAGCCACCACGCCCAGCCTCAAAATTCTTATATAGCACATAAAGCTTCCTCTTGTACTTTTATTTATTTTCTCAAGGCGGAGTTTCACTCACTCTGTCGCCAGACTGGAGTGCAGTGGTGCATCCCAGCTCACTACAACCTCCATCTGCCAGGTTCAAGTGATTCTCCTGCCTCAGCCTCCCCAGAAGCTAGGATTACAGGCACTCGCCACCATGCCCAACTAATTTTTTTGTATTTTTTGTAGAGCTAGGGTTTCACCTCTCTCACCTCTCTCGTACTCTTTTTTTTTTTTTTTTTTTTGAGACAGAGTCTCACTCTGTCGCTCAGGCTGGAGTGCAGTGGAGCGATCTCGTCTCACTGCAAGCTCTGCCTCCCAGGTTCACGCCATTCTCCTGCCTCAGCCTCCCGAGTAGATGGGACTACAGGTGCCCGCCACCATGCCCGGCTGATTTTTTCTATTTTTTTAGTAGAGGCAGGGTTTCACCATGTTAGTCAGGATGGTCTCAATCTCCTGACCTCGTGTTTCGCCTGCCTGGGTCTCCCAAAGTGCTGGGATTATAGGCGTGAGCCACTGCACTCAGCCTGTACTCTTAACATATATGTCAAAAAGAGAAAGTACAGTTATGGCTTTACCCATAACTTATACATTGCATCTTACACATTGAGAATGTTTGGTGTTACTTGTAGAGAAGTGCTTGTGAAGTAGAACCTGAAACCTTTTTTATTTTGGCTTTGAGAAACAAAATACAAACTAAGGGAAACAAATAGAAAAAGTGTGAAACGCAAGGATTCCAACCTTCATGAGTTAAAAGCAGTTTTTGTCTATTTTATAGCATTACAAAATTAAATTTCGGTCTTTACTATATTTCAATATACAGTATATTTGTGTATTCAGCTCATTAACAGTGTATGGTTCTACTTACAGGATTAAAGCAAATTTAAACTGTGTTATTGAATATGAAAAGGTTGTAAATATATTATGGTGTTATTTAAAATATTGTAATGTACTTTTCGATAGGGAGAATAATTTCTATTTCGAACCACTTATTTATATCATACTACCCTAAAAATAACAAAATAATCGTTGAAAAATTTTAAGCAGTTTAACAAGATTGTGTGTGTATTGCTGTGAAAAAGAGCTGGGAAAATGTCCTGCCGCTTTGATTTACAAAGCATGCTGTGCTCCTGCCACCTAGTGGTCAGCTTTAAGAGCAGCGGTTTGTTGAACAAGTCCTTAAGCTTGTGACCTGTTTTAAGTTACAGGTTACATTTACTTGTTGACAGTGCTGCCCTTTGCCTTTTGAAGGTGTTGCCTAGGAGTTTGGAGCGTTCACGCTGCTTCTCCTACCAGCTTACAAGGAGAAACCGCTTCCTTAGTGAATGGAAACTCAGGCAGCAGAGTCAGTGTTTCATGTAGTGCTAATTATGCCATGGAAAAAACTCTTAAATGACAACCAGTTGGACCCCTCTCCAGGGAGCTCTGGTAAGCTACAGTCTCCTGGCACATGTTTCTAGTTGAGTTGGGACTCTGGCTCTCGTATTAAAAGATCCCCGGCAACCAGGGCAAACTGTTGAACTTCTCCTGGCACGGGTCTTCTCAAGGGTAGAATACGGAGTAACTTCATCTGCCCCTGGGGATGGTAAGAGCCAATGAAATTATGGATGTTAAACACTTAGCCCACCCTTTGACACTGACTGCCACTGTGTGGTTACCGCTGTTTAGATGGTTTTTCCATCCTAG